AAGAAAGAAAGAAAGAAAGAAAGAAAGAAAGAAAGAAAGAAAGAAAGAAAGAAAGAAAGAAAGAAAAGAGACCAAGGTTGGTCATGTCACTGCCACCAAAAATTTTATTAAAGGACATCTATCCGCCACTATGGCAGTCCAATGCCCACAAAATAACCTCTCAAAACTCCACTGATCAATGAAGCTGAGGATTTTTGCCTCAGGCTACAACATAAAACTACTTATTTTCCCCTAACTGTGAATTTCCCACAGGCTTCCTGTTGGCTGCTTTCATTCTGTGGTCTAGATGAGTATTTAACTCAGCAGAGTTGTTGTGTTTCTCTACACTTATTAAATGCAAGCATAATTTATATTCCGTGCATCCAGCAAATCCACAAATAACAGAGAAATGACGCATATTTCTGTATACTTCATTGTACTGAGAATAAGTGTTATGTGTTACTGGGTGAAGAGGCTCCACTTGCAATTTCCCTGAAATCAGCTATATGAATTCCACATACAGGTAGTCCCAAACTTACAGCCATTCATTAAGGGGTTGTTCGAAGTTACAATGGCACTGAAGGAAAGTAATGTGTGACCATTTCCCACACTTACGACCATTGAAGCATCCCCCAGTTACTTAATCAAAATTCGGACACTTGCAACTGGCTCATATTTATGATGGTTGCAGTGTCCTGGGGTCATGGGATCACCTTTTGCACCCTTCTGACAACCAAAGTCAATGGGGAAGCCAGATTCACTTAGCAACCGTGATATTAACTTAACAATAGCAGTGAATCACTTGAAAAACTGTGGAAAGAAAGCTTGTAAAATGGAACAAAACTCACTTAACAACTGTTTTCCTTAACAACAGAATTTTTGGGCTCAATTGCGGTCGTAAGTCGAGGACTGCCGGAAGATACACACATACATTATATACTAGTTCATTATATACTTTTTCTCCTTATTTGTTACATCACAAACCACTATTAGTATTTTGAATCCTCTGGACAGGATTCCATAGAATTACCTCTTTGAACAAGGATGAAAATCACATTTGGGGGAGAACAGCACACATACATACAATGACATTAATTCTAAGAGCAAGCAATTTACAGATGGTAACTCCCACTAGAACACGTGGAGGAGTAGAGTAACACAAACTTTTCAATACCCAATGGCTAGGGGAGTAAACAAATGAATGAGACAGAATAATAAACAGACCATACCACAGATCATCTGACTGGAGGGAAGACTGGAAAGTCAATTATAAAAACTAACCCCTGTCATCTCAGGTTATGTCTTATACTAGCCAATTTCTGTACTATTTATTTTATTATTATCTTGAAGCATCTTATGCATGGATTGCAAAACACAGTGAAAATTGACAGCATGCAACCTGGTGACAATTTTCTTTAGGAAAAAAAGGGAAAGACAAAGTAAAGCATCCTTGCTGGTAGATTTTGAAATGCATTATGTATATTGATCAGCAACACTTTAAAGAGAGTGGACACCCTCATTATCTCATTTCTAAGTTATTTCATGCGGAGTGAAAATCTCTGTGATTAACCAATGAGGCAGAACACACAAGGTGACTAACCTCTGGTATCAGTCTGTCTAATTGTTCAGCTCGATTTTCGTGTGATGGGTGTGTAGAAAGCCATTCTGGTAATTGGGGTTCGTTCTGTAGCGTCTTAGCCAGTTCCATTTGCTGCCAGAAGACAGAACTGGCTCTTACATCCATACAAGCCTAGAAAATATATGCAGAAAACTGCTTAGTACAGACATTTTCAGAAATTCCTTGCACAACAATTAGTCTTGCAAATATTGCTGGCTGCTCTCTTGACACAAACAAAATTCATCTATTAATCAAATAGGTTTCTATGGGAATTTCCTAAGACTTCAACGTGCGGAAGCTCACAAGATACAGTAAGTCACTCGTTTTTTGACTCAGTCTTGACTCCTGGTGACTACCTGTACTAGTCCCTAAAGTTTTCTTGGCAAGGTGTTCAGAAATGGTTTGCCACTGCCTCTTTCCCAGGGTGAGAGTAAGTGACTGGCTCAGCTGGCTTTGTGCCTAAGGTAGGTCTAGAACTCCTGGTTTCCCAGTTTCTAGCCTGATGCCTTAACCGTTACACCAAACTGGCTCAAACATTGAGATAATTTACAGCCTTGATAAAATAGAAGCCAATTGCAAGATTTAAGGTTTCCTCAAGTCACAATCTTCATTAGGCATTACGCATGTCAGGAAAGAAGTAGCGAAAGAGAGAAAGCATAGGAATATTCCTGGACTACTTTCATTGCAGGAACTGTGACATCCCTTACTATGAAACCTAAGTAATTGGTAGACCTCCTCACTTTAGAATAATAATAACAACAATAAAAATGACAACAGTAATTATTATTATAATAAGTCAGCAGAGCCATTGTTTTATTCCCCAAAATTTCATTTTCTCTTTTGCCTTCTCTTCAGAAAGAACAAAGCTCTATAACTAAAAAAAGAAATTGAAACGAAGAATAACTGAAGTTCTAGAGCAGCACAAAAACAACATTGAAGCTTATTGCAAGGAAACAGCTAGCACAAGTATTAATAGATACCAATATTGTAATATCTAATACCATCTGATTACAAGAAACAAATCAAGTAATTTGCAAACATTAATTGCTGTTGGATGCTGGATTCTAAATCAACAAACAAGAAAAAAAAAACAGTGCATACCAAAATGGAAAATCAGGTGGGCATTTTCAGAGGTAATCCAGAGATTGTCTTAATATCTGCAAAATTGTCTGGCTTGATTCAAATGACTATCTTTAATTACATCATTTTAAAAACAACAGCTTCTGGATAGTAGAACAGAAACATTTCATTGGGCAATAAATAAGAGAGCCTTGGTCATTGACATTCATGGGAAAACATGCAGAAATAGAAAATGCTGATTAAATATACACAGAAAGGTTGGGTGGGAGAAAGATGGGATGTATTTATTGATTCAGAATTAGCCTTCTCTAAACTGGAAGCCCTCAGATGCATGGACTTCAAATCTCAGAATTCAGAACTAATATAATAATTGAAGAGAATGTTTGGTTAAACATCCTTGTTTAGAAATCATGATTATTCAGGCGATCACTCATAGGAAGAAGAACCTTAAGCTACAGACATAATGGAATAAGGGAGCTCATGGAATGCCCAATTACCAAGATAATTTTTATCTTAGTAGAAAATTAGTTTGTCTCCTCCCTAACCTTCAAACTAATCTTACTTCAAACTAACCTCTTACTTCAAACTAATCCACGTGGGCAGAATAGATCAAGTGGTTTGAAAGGAAGTAGGCATCTTTGCTCTCTTCCTCTTTAGTAAGTTTTGCCTGAAATTTTTTGAGGGTGACAAGAGGAAGTCATTGTATTTAACTGGAACAGAAGAAAAACAGAGGATGAGTAATTGACTCACATGCAAATGTAAGAAAAGAAGGTACCAGTTTTGCGAAAAGAAACAAAACTACCTGAACTAAGATGTGGATTTTTATCAGCAAAACAAACATGCACATGCACAAACATACACACGCATACACAAATATGAAAGAAACTGCTGTGGCAATGTGGAAACAATAAAAACAAGACTTTTTAAATATTCTTTATACATAGAGAAGGTACTGAAGAAAATTCTATAGGGATAAATGGTTAAAAAAAATTCTGTACCTTAAAGTTTTATTTAAGAAATATTTGTAGCTTCACTGACTCCACTAAATGGAACACTATATACCCCAGGATCAACCTGCCTCTCAGCCTGCTGGCTTTTCATAAAGCCTGAAGATCTGGATGTGCTCCGGGGTCTCAGGGTCAGGAGATTGAATGCCCGTTGAGAGATCTTTAATAATGGTTTTGTTTGGATTTATCTTCTGTGACCACTATTAGTTTTTTCCCCCCGCTTTCAGTGAAAAGCTGCATTTGGGAGATGGGTGGCCATAGAAATCAATGTAATAAATACGTTAAATAACTGGGTGTTTACATATACGTAAACACACAGTTTACCTGTGGCCCATCATAAAAGGCTATTCGATAATGCATAGGTATGAAGGTGGGATGATAAAACCTGCTGCAGGTACCTAGGGGGGAAAAAAATCAGCATCTTCAGATAGACAGCGTGTTCATACAACAAGCCTGAATTTTCATATCAGCACCACAGCACGTATATGAATAGCAGTGTAGGGATGTGTTAGGCTCCATCTTTTAATTTTATAGGTTGAATGTTATGGGTTGAAAAAGGTAGCTATTTGAATTTCACTGCTTCCTCCCATTTTTTTCCTTGTGCTGGTCATCAAATAAAAACTACTTTACTTACCCCATCTTTCCTTTTTTTTGAAAGGAATGAACGTTATCATAGTAAAGTAGTAACAATGTGATTTTTCTATAGAAACTATTTAATATTAATATTCATTTGATAATATTCATTTGATTCATCATTGTATAAATAAATAAAAATCCTAGAAAGGAATTTAAAGAATTCTGGCCCACAAATGTAAAGGAAAGTTACTGATATTGTTGTTAATTTACATGCGCTAGAACTTTAGCAACACTATTTAAGTATAATGCTGTATTTAGCAGTCCAAGCAGTTCACATATTCTAAAAACCTCATATACGTTTTTATTATCACTAGGTGGCAGTAATAAAGTGTATACACATATATATATTAAGAAGGAATGCAAAGTTAGTGGAAGAAAATAATCCCAAGGCTAAAATTAAAGACATTACAACTAGAGGGGGAAGCTATTTGTTAGCAACGCCATCTATTGAGAATTAATTCAACTGAAACTCTTAACATGATTTAAAGAAAGGCAATTCTTACCTTAGCAGCAAACCTAAGTCCAACCTTGTCAGCCTCAGCTTCTAAAGTCCTATTGTATGGCATATCAAAAAGTAACTAGAATGAAAGAAGAAAAGTATCCCAGTGTTTATACTTGCTACTTTTTGAAATAAACCAGTTTCTTATCAAAAACTGCCTGAAAATTACCCTGCTGAATGCAACAGTGCATTTTTTAGCAATATAAGTAGAGATGATTAGTGAGTAGAATCAGTGGCGGGATTCAAAAATTTTTACTACCAGTTCTGTGGGCGTGACTGGGTGGGCCTGGCTTTTTTTTTTTTTGCAGCCCCCACCCATTTTTGGGAGCTTCTTACCCACAGAGGAGCCTCTGGGGGGACGTTTTTGCTCCCCTAAGGGGCTCAGGAAGAAAAGGAACAGAGCATGGGAGGGGCATGCAGCACCCCT